TGTGTGTTTGTGTATATATATATAATTTTGCACATGTGTTGTAATGTTTTTTTTAAATTTGTTCGCTTTTTAAGTCTCTTCCACTGTGTTTTTCAGTATTTTAATGAGTGATGGTCACTTGATAAGTGTGTTGTGTCCAAATTTGGTGTGAATTCATCCAGTGGTTTTTGAGTTATGTTAATCCCACAAATGAACATTACATTTTTATTTATATAGACTAGCTGTCCCCTGCCACATGTTGCTGTGGCTCAGTCTGTGTATATGTGTTTGGTGTGTGTATATATTTGAGTATATATGTGTGTTTGCGTGTATATATGTGGTTTTGCGCATGCGTTGTAATGTTTTTTTGTTTTTGGCTTTTAAAGTATTTTCTGCTGTGTTTTTCAGTGTTTTAATGAGTGATGGTCACTCGTTGGCCTGATAGGTGTGTTGTGTCCATATTTGATGTCAATTCGTCCAATGGTTTTTGAGTTACATTTTACATTACATTTTTATTTATATAGATATTATATTATTCAATTATTATTATTAGATCCAATGTGTCAGTGTTCCAATGCCAATATTAATATTATTTGGCTGGCCAGTGTGCAACCGCCATTATTATTATTATTATTATTATTATTATTATTATTATTATTATAGTATTATTATTAAATTATTATATTACACTAGCCATCCCCTGCCACGCATTGCTATGGCCCACATGGGGGTTCTGTGTGGGAGGTTGGGCCCAATTCTATCATTGGTGGGGTTCAGAATGCTCTGTGATTGTAGGTGAACTATAAATCCCAGCAACTACAACTCCCAAATGTCAAGATTCTATTTTCCCCAAACTCCACCAGTGTTCACATTTGGGCATATGTAGTATTTGTGTAGAGTTTGGTCCAGATCCATCATTGTTTGAGTCCACAGTGATCTCTGGATGTAGGTGAACTACAACTCCAAAACCAAGGACACTGCCCACCAAACCTTCCAGTATTTTCTGTTGGTCATGGGAGTTCTGTGTGCCAAGTTTGGTTCAATTCCATCATTGGTGGAGTTCAGAATGCTCTTTGATTGTAGGTGTACTATAAATCCCAGCAACTACAACTCCCAAATGACAAAATCAATTTTTTGAGTGAAGGACATACATTGGGTTGTTAGGTGTCTTGTGTCCAAATTTGGGGTCATTTCGGCCAGTGGTTTTCGAGTTCTGTTAATCCAACATTACATTTTTATTTATATAAATTATTATGTATTCATATTCTTATTAAATTATATTTATTATTATTATTATTATTATTATTATATTAAATTATATATTATTATTACCATCATCATCATCATCATTATTAGATCAAATGGGCCAGTGTTCCAATGTCCAAATGAATATTATTATTAGAATGGTCAATGTCCAATATGTAAGCGTCATTATTGTTTCGGTAGTGTCCAACGTTCAAATGCTACGTATTATTATTAATCTGCGTCTGAATTAAGTGCAAATAGGTTCTCTAGCATCACCTCCCTTTGCCGCCTTCCAGTGGCCACAGTGAGAATAATTATAATTATAATAGAAACAACTATTATAATTTAAAGATCGAACTGCAAAGACTCTGGCACAAGCCAGTAAAGGTGATCCCAGTGGTGATTGGCATACTGGGTGCAGTGCCTAAAGACCTTATTTACTTATTTACGTCACTTTTATCCCGCCCATATCAGCCCGAAGGCGACTCAAGACGGCGTACAAGTTGGCAACAATTAGATGCCATATATAAAAACACATACATCAGTCAAAAGCCAAAAACATCACAATACATTTAAAAACCATAAAAGCAATAAACAATAAAAATTATAAAAACGCTGTCTTCTTGTTCAAATCGTCTTAGCCGTTCCTAGTTCATCTTCCAATTTGAGTTTTTGTGGTCATGCTGAGTTTCCAAACGCTTGCTCAAAGAGCCAGGTTTTCAATCTTTTTCGAAAGGTCAGGAGGGAGGGGGCCGATCCAATATCCTTAGGCAGGGAGTTTCACAGCTGAGGGGCCACCACAGAGAAGGCCCTGTCTCTCGCCCTCGCCAGATGTGCTTGTGAAGCAGCCAGGACCTTGGCCTGCACTTAAATACAATTGGCGCTGACAAAATTACCAAAGGCCACCTTACTGGGATCTGCACGCATTATTCACCGATATATCACACAGTCCTAGACACTTGGGAAGTGTCTGATGTCTGATCCAATATCATGACCAAAATCACTGGGTTGTTGTGAGTTTTCCAGGCTGTATGGCCATGTTCCAGAAGCATTCTCACCTGACGTTTCACCTACATTTATGGCAGGAATCCCAACAGACCTCTACCTCTGAGGATGCTTGCCATAGATGCAGGCGAAACGTCAGGAGAGAATGCCTCTAGACCATAGCCATATAGCCCGAAAAAACCTACAACAACCCACTTGGGAAGTGTCTGACGTGTGATCCAATACAACAGCCAGCAGAGTGATCTTGTCTGCTGTGGACTCATCTTGTTGTGTTTCAAATAATAATAATAATAATATCCGGCACAGTCTGGTTTCAGACCGGGACATGGAACCGAGGGACTCGGAGCGGCTAACATGAGGCCAAGCCTGACAATACAATGCAGCAAAATAAAATACAACACAACAAAATAATTACATCACCATAAAAATACATGATGTAACAGAATAAAATAAGCAGTGCCAAATAATATAGTGAAAAATAGAACACAATGGGCGGGCCAAATGCACAAGATAAAATCCATCAACCCTGGATGAGATAGGAGTGGAAAAGTGTATTTGTGAGAGAGGAGCTCACAAGGGACGAGGACTTCATTACGGATGGGGGGGGCATCAAGAGGACAATATAATAATAACAATATGATATTATAATTATATATTTATATTACATGTAATATTACTAATAATATTACAATATAATTGGTATAGTACAATATAGCACTATTTAAAACTGATCTTGTACTATGCTAATAATATAATATATTGTATGTATATATACCTTGTAAGCCGCTCTGAGTCCCCTTTGGGGTGAGAAGGGTGGCATATAAATGTCGCAAATAAATAATAATAATAATAATAATAATAATAATAATAATAATAATAAACACTGTAGATGGAACAGACAGAGATGGGATTATATGGTCACTCTCCAAAGGCACAATGGAAGAGCCAAGTTTTTAGATCTTTTTAAAGGCTGCCAGGGTGGGGGCCTGGTAGAGAGTTCCAAAGCCGAGGGGCCACAGCAGAGAAGGCTCTCTCCCTCGTTCCCACAAGTCATACTTGGGATGGAGGAAGGGGCGAAAGCAGGGCCTCCCCAGAGGATTGAAGAGACTGTGCAGGTTTATGGTAGGAGATACGGTCACGAAGGTAGGCAGGTCCCAAACCATTCAGGGCTTTATAGGTGATAACCTGCACCTTGAATTGGGACTGGAAGACGAATGGCAGCCAAAGGAGGTCCTTAAACAGGGGGGTAGACCACTCCCTGTAATTCACCCGTTAGTAATCTGGCTGCCAAACGTTGGATTAATTGGAGTTTCCGGGCCATCTTCAAGGGGTGCCCCATGTAGGAGTGCATTGCAGTAGTCCAGTCTAGAATTGCATCCTTTTAGTTCTGCCAACCTAGCAGTTCGAAAATATGCAAATGTGAGTAGATCAATAGGTACCGCTCTGGTGGGAAAGTAATGGCGCTCCATGCAGTCATGCTGGCCACATGACCTTGGAGGTGTCTATGGACAACACCGGCTCTTCGGCTTAGAAATGGAGATGAGCACCAACCCCCAGAGTCAGACATGACTGGACTTAATGTCAGAGGAACACCTTTACCTTTACCTTTCAGTCCAGCCGAGGTGTAGAGGGCAACTCTTCCCTGCCCTCCAGTGGCCAGAAGGGGAAACTGCACCCTTTAATATTTCCTTCCAAAAGGAGTTTTGTATTAAAACCAACACTCTCAATCATCCCCTGTTTTCCTGCCTGGCAGAAGGAGGTTATACTGGATGGTCCCTTTAAGAGTCTTGGATTCTATTATTATTATTATTATTATTATTATTATTATTATTATTATTATTATTATATTTTTATTATTATTATTATTATTCTCAAGCAGAGACTGGATGGCCATCTGTTGGGAGAGATCGGATGGTGCCTTCCCGACAGAAAGAGGTTGGGCAGAATGGTCCCTCAAAGAGTCTTTGATTCTATAATAATTATTATTATATTTTAAAAATATTATTATTCTTAAGCAGAGACTGGATGGCCATCTGTTGGGAGGGATCAGATGGTGCCTTCCTTCCCGACAGAAGGGGGTCGGACTGGATGGTCCCTCAAAGAGTCTTTGATTCCAGTATTATTATATTTAAAAATATTATTATATTTGTAATATTATTATTATTCATAAGCAGAGACTAGATGGCCATCTGTTGGGAGAGATCGGATGGTGCCTTCCTTCCCGACAGAAGGAGGTTGGGCAGAATGGTCCCTCAAAGAGTCTTTGATTCTATAATAATAATAATAATAATAATAATAATTTAATATTTTAAAAATATTATTATTCTTAAGCAGAGACTGCATGGCCATCTGTTGGGAGGGATCAGATGGTGCCTTCCTTCCCAACAGAAGGGGGTCGGACTGGATGGTCCCTCAAAGAGTCTTTGATTCTATTATTATTATATTTAAAATATTATTATATTTTTAATATTATTATTATTCGTAAGCAGAGACTGGGCCAACTGTCGGGAGAGATCAGATGGTGCCTTCCTTCCCGACAGAAGGAGGTTGGGCAGGATGGTCCCTCAAAGAGTCTTTGATTCTATTATTATTATATTTTAAAATATTATTATATCTTTAATATTAGTATTATTCGTAAGCAGAGACTGGATGGCCATCTGTCAGGAAGGATTGGATGGTGCCTCCCTGCCTTTCCCAACTCCAAATCAGCTGCCTCCTTTCCCAAAAAAGGCTTGGCCACCTGTTGCTGCCCATGAAACGTCTTGCCAAGAGCGAACAAGAGGCAGACGGCTGATCCGAGCGACAAGCCCAGGGCGAGACGGAAAGGCTTTGCTTGTCCTGGGCCCGGGATCCTCCTTGGGAAGGTTTGACTTTGTCTTCCTTATCCATAATATCCTTCTTTTCTCCCAAATCCCCATCACTCGAACCCGCCTCAGGCTTCAGAGCCATTGGGTCAAGGCTTTGGCTGGAGCCCAGGCCTGCCTCTGCCTTGCAAGGGAAGGGGACTATTTTTGGGACGGCTCTTTTGACGCCAAGCCAGGAAACAGCAGCAGGAGGAACACTCGACCTGTAAAGCCTAGCGAGGTGGAAAGGTACTCCGCATTTTGCCTTTATTTTGTATTGAATGGGCCTCTTCCAACTCTAGGATTCTACCTGTCTATCTATATCTATCTCTATCAATCAATCTATCTATCTGAATCTCTATCTATCTATCTATCTATCTATCTATCTATCTATCTGTATCTCTATCCATCTCTATTATCTATCTATCTATCTATCTATCTATCTATCTATCTATCTATAAGAAGGCTGGACTGGATGGCCATCTGTCAGGAGGGATCAGATGGTACCTTCCTTCCTGGCAGAAATGGGGTTGGATTGGATGATCTTTGATTCTCTCCCAGTTCTAGGATTTTATCTAACTATCATCTATGAATCAGTCAATCAATCAATCAATCAATCTGTATCAGATAGATACAAATAGATTGAGTGATTCGTAGATGATAGATAGAATCCTAGAACTGGAAGAGAACCCACGGGTGAGCTCTCTCTCTCTCTCTCTCTCTCTCTCTCTCTATATATATATATATATATATTAAGGGGGCTGGGCAGGATGGTCATCTGTCGGGAGGGATCGGGTGGTGCCTTCTTGGCAGAAGAGGGTTGGCCCTTGGAGGTTTTTTCTGGCTTTAGGGTTTTTAAGGTTCTATCTATCTATCTATCTATCTATCTATCTATCTATCTATTTATCTATCTACCTAGCAATATATTTATCTTAAGGGGGCTGGACTGGGTGGCCATCAGCTGGGAGGGATCAGATGGTGCCTTCCTTCCTGGCAGAAATGGGGTTGGACTGGATGACCCTTGATTCTCTCTCCCAGTTCTAGGATTCTATCTTACTATCGTTTATGAATCAGTCAATCAATCAATCTGTATCAGATAGATAGGTACAAATAGATAGATAGATTGACTGATTCATAGATGATAGATAGAATCCTAGAACTAGAAGAGAACCCATGGGCCATCTGTCCATCTCTCTCTCTCTCTCTCTCTCTCTCTCTCTCTCTCTCTCTCTATATATATATATATATATATATATATATATATATATATATTAAATTAAAGGGGCTGGACAGGATAGTCATCTGTCGGGAAGGATCGGATGGTGCCTCCTTGGCAGAAGAGGGTTGGACTGGATGACCTTTGATTCTCTTCCAGTTCTAGGATTCTATCTAACTAACTTGGAGGTTTTTTCTGGCTTTAGGGTTCTATTTATCTATCTATTTATCTTAAGAGGGCTGGACTGGATGACCTTTGATTCTCTCCCAGTTCTAGGATTCTATCTAACTATCATCTATGAATCAATCAATCAGTCAGTCAATCAATCTGTATCAGATAGATAGATACAGATAGATAGATTGACTGATTGATAGATGACAGATAGATAGAATCCTAGAACTGGAAGAAAACCCACAGGCGATCTATCTATCTATCTATCTATCTATCTATCTATCTATCTCTATTTCTATCTATATTAAAGGGGCTGGGCTGGATGGCTGGTTGGGAGGGATTGGATGGTGCCTTCTTGGCAGAAGGGGGTTGGATTGGATTGTCCTTGGAGGGATTTTTCTGGCTTTAGGGTACTGTTTATCTATTTATTTCTCTTAAGGGGGCTGGACTGGATGGCCATCTTTTGGGAGGTATTGGATGGTGCCTTCCTTCCTGGCAGAAGGGGGTTAGACTGAATGGCCCTGGGGTTCTCTTCAAACTCTAGGATTCTACCTACCTACCTACCTATCTATCTATCTATCTATCTATCTATCTATCTATATTAAGGGGACTAGACTGGATGGCCATCTGTTGGGAGGGATCGGATGGAGCTTTCTTCCTAGACGAAGAGGGTTGGATTTGATGGCCCTTGGGTTCTCTTCCAATTCTAGGATTCTGTCTGTCTGTCTATCCATCTATCTTAAAGAGGCTGGACTGGATGGCCATCTGTTGTGAGGGATCAGATTGTGACTTCCTTCCTGGTAGAAATGGGGTTGGACTGAATGACCTTTGGTTCTCTTCCAGTTCTAGATTTTGTCTATCTGTCTATCTATCTATCTATCTATCTATCTATCTATCTATCTATATAAAGGGGGGTGGACTGGATGGCCATCTGTCAGGAGGGGTCAGTGAGTGTCTTCTTTCCTGGCAGAAGGAGTTTAAACCAAATGCCTCTCCCCACTCTAGTCTTTGATTCTGTCATCCTGTTTCTCCATGAACCTGCCAATGTCTATAAGGCCTGATGGCCATCTGTTAGGAGGGGTCGGATGGTAACTTCCTTTCTTACAGAAACGGGGTTGGACTGGATGGCCTTCTGGGTTCTCTCTTCCGACTCAAGGTTCCTATGACTCCAAACCCCCCATTCTCATTGAGCCATGGGGGTTAAAGTGGTATCAAACTGCATGAACACTACAGTGCAGACGGACCTAGTGAAAAAGAAGACTTTGACAGATGGATAGAGCTAGAGAGCACCTGCTGGGCAGCCGAGAGAGGCCTGGGAAGTCCCGCATCCAGCGGACTGGGTTTCACGGCCCTATTCTTAGAAAACGGTCCGCCTGGGTTTTAGGTATCAAAGTGTGAATGAAGGAGGCTTTGGCCTCAGTCTCCAGACAAGGAAGCCCAGCCCCTGCGCTCGAAGCAAGATTCTCCTTCTCTCTCTTTCTTTCTTTCCTGCTTTCAATTCCTTTCTCTCCCCTTCTGTCCCTTTCCTCTTCCCTTTTCCTTCCTCTTCTTCTTTCCTTCCTTCCTTTCTCTCTCTCTCTCTCTTTCCTCCCCTCATGCCTGTGGAAAAAAGAAAATCTTTCCTTCCTTCCTTCTTCCCCTCCATTCCTTCCCTTTTTTCCTTCCTTTCTCTTCCCTTCTAGCTCTTTCTTTCTTTCCCTCAAGCCCTTCCTTCCTTCTTCCTCTCCATCCCTCCCTTCCCTTTTCCCCTTCCTTTCTCTTCCTTCTCTTTCTTTCCTCTCCTTTTCTTTTCTCCCTTTCTCCTTCCTTCCTTCTCTTCCTTCCTCCTTCCTTCCTTCCTTCCTTCCTTCCTTCCTTCCTTTTCCCTCCCTCCTCCCTTTCTTCCTTTTTCCTTTCTTCCCTCTCGCTTCTTTCCTTCTTTCCTTCTTTCCTTCTTTCCTTCTTTCCTTCTTTCTTTCCTTCCTTCCTTCCTTCCTTCCTTCCTTCCTTCCTTCCTTCCTTCCTTCCTTCTTCCTCTTTCCCTTTCAATTTCACATTCTAATTCTCTCTTTATCCCTTTTTTCTCCCACACTTCCTTCTTGATTTCGTTCATCCCTTCCTTATTTCTTTCCTCCCCTCAACCCTTTTATCCCTTTCTTTCCTTTTTTACCCTCTCTCTCTCTTTCCTTCCCTCCCCACATACCTTTTCCTCCTTCCTTGATTCCTGATCTTTTTTCCCTTCATCTTCTCTCATTTTCTTTCCCTTATTTTTCCTTCCTTTCTTCCTTCCTTCCTTCCTTCCTCCTTTCTTTCTTTCTTTCTCCCCCTTTCTTTCCCCTCTCCTCCTCCTCATACCCTTTCCCCCTTTTCTTTCTGTTCTTATTTTCTTTCTTTTTCCTCCTTTCTTTCTTTTTTTCTTCCCTCCCTTTCTTTTTCTTTCCTTTCTTCCCTTCCTCAACTTTCTTTCCTCCCTTCATACCTTTCCTCTTTCCTTTCTTTTCCTCCATTCCCTCCTTTCTGTTCTTTTTTTCTTTCTTCTTCTCTCTCGCTTTCTTTACCTTCTTTCCTCCCTCCCTCTTTCTTTCCCTCTCTCTCTTTCCTCCCCTCATACCTGTGGCGAAATGAAAATCAAGCATAGTTCACATTTGGTCAGTCCACACACTGTCTTGCCAGAGGAAGAAAATATGCCATGCAGAGGAACCAAAAAGAACAAGTGGTTTTCTCTTCATAATTCAGAACGACATATTTATAATCATGTGATCAGTTGCATCAACTCACATCATGTCCTTTTATGAGAGATTTAAAACGGTCTTTTTTTTCCATGTGGAGAATCTTCCTCCAGCAGCTCATGAAGCAAGAGCACACTCCAAGAACTCTCTCTCTCTCTGTTTCTCTGCAAGCACCTGTACAGCTCAAGCCTGAAAAATGTAACAGTATCCAAAAGTCCCAGGCTCAGCCAGCTCCCCGGGCGTAGCTTGACCAATCAGCTTTGTGCATCTTATTTTACAGTTGACACACACACACTAATTTCTTACATGCTCCAACAATACCTTTACACCTTTTTTCCTCTTCCCTCCCTCCTTTCTCCTTTCCTTTCATTCCCTTTCTTTCCTCTCCCTTCTTTCTTGATTTCTTTCTTCCCTTCCTTTTTTCTTTCCTCCCCTCAAGCCTTTTCCCTTCCTTCCTTCTCTTTCCTTTTCCTCTTTCTCTTTCTCTCCTTTCCTTCCCACATACCTTTTCTTCCTTCCTTCCTCCTCTGTTTCTTTTTTCTTCATCCTCTCTCACTTTCTTTCCCTTATTTTTCCCTTCCTTCTCTTTCATTTTCTTCTCTCTCTCTTTCCTTCCCACATACCTTTCCTTCCTTCCTTCCTTCCTTCTTTCCTTCCTTCCTTCCTTCCTTCCTTCCTTCCTTCCTTCCTTCCTTCTTTTCTTTTTTCTTCATCCTCTCTCACTTTCTTTCCCTTATTTTTCCCTTCCTTCTCTTTCATTTTCTTCTCTCTCGTTCATTCTCTCTTTCTCTCTTTATTTCCTCTCTTGTCATACCTTTTCCTCTTTTCTTTCTGTTCCCATTTTCTTTCTGTTTCCTCCCTCCCTTCTTTCTTCCTCCCTCCCTTTTTGCTTTCCTTTCTTCCTTTCCTCTTTTTTCTTTCCTCCCTTCATACCTTTCCCCTTTCATTTCTCTTCCTTCCATCCCTCCCTTCTGCTCCTTTTTTCTTTCTTAACAACAACAACTACTATATTCTTATACCCCCCACCATCTCCCAGAAGGCTTACATGGGGACCAAGCCCAGCATCAACAAGGATTAAAAGCCGAAACACAATTAAGAGCATAATAACATATCAACAGTATAACGGAAACAATTCAAACCAGAAAAGTAAAAACATCATAAAAATACGTCAAATGGCATGAAAAAGCAGTAACCAGGAAATGGTGGGCATGATCAGATTCGAGAGGGCAGGGCAAGGACTTGTGCCAAACGCAGACTATAGGCCTGGGACTGGGAGTAAGGTGCTGAAAAACCTAATCTTCTCCCTCACTTATTTTTCTTTCTTCTTTCCTTCCTCTTTCCCCCTTTCCCTCCTTACTTTCTCCTTTTCTCTTCCCTTTCTTCCCTTCATACCCTTTTCCCTTTCCTTTCTTCCCTTCCTTTCTTCATTTCCTGTCATCCATCAAAACTGATCTGGAAATAAGATTAATTGAAAGCATATAATAATAATAATAATAATAATAATAATAATAATAATAATAATAAACAAATCCCAAGTGTATAATCTGCAAGGAAGCAGATGAAACAATAGATCACATCCTCAGCTGCTGCAAGAAGATCGCGCAGACAGACTACAAGCAGAGGCACAACACCGTTGCTCAGATGATTCATTGGAACTTGTGCCACAAATACCATCTGCCTGCGACAAAGAACTGGTGGGATCACAAGCCGGAAAAAGTTACAGAAAATGAACACGTCAAGATACTCTGGGACTTCCGGATTCAGACAGACAGAGTTTTGGAGCATAATACTCCTGACCTCACGATTGTGTTAAAAAAAAGTATGGATCGTCGATGTTGCAATCCCAGGTGACAGCAGGATTGCAGAGAAACAACTGGAAAAGCTGACACGGTATGAGGATTTAAAGATCGAACTGCAAAGACTCTGGCACAAGCCAGTCAAGGTGGTCCCAGTGGTGATCGGCACACTGGGTGCAGTGCCTAAAGACCTTGGCCTGCACTTAAAAACAATCAGCGCTGACAAAATTACCATCTGCCAGCTGCAAAAGGCCACCCTACTGGATCTGCACGCATTATTCGCCGATACATCACATAGTCCTAGACACTTGGGAAGTGTCCGACATGTGATCCAATACAACAGCCAGCAGAGTGATCTTGTTTGCTGTGGACTCATCTTGTGTTTCTAATAATAATAATAATAATAATAATAATAATAATAATAATAATAGGTGACTGAGACTGAAAGACCTTGAGAGGCCCATAAACATTTCCATTGAAGTGAGGAAAGTGGGTCTGCTGTGGAATCATCTTGTTATGTTTGTAATAATAATAATAATAATAATAATAATAATAATAATAAGCCAGTAGAGGTGGTCCCAGTGGTGATCAGCACATTGGGTACAATGCCTAAAGACCTTGACCTGGACTTAAACACAATCGGCGCTGACAAAATTACCATCTGTCAGCTACAAATCGCCACCTTACTGGGATCTGCACGCATTATTCGCCGATACATCACACAGTCCTAGACACTTGGGAAGTGTCCAACGTGTGATCCAATACAACAGTCAGCAGAGCGACCTTGTTTGCTGTGCACTCATCTTGTTGTGTTTCAAATAAATAAATAACAACAACAACAACAACAACAACAATTTAAAGCATATATTGAGGGGAGGGGGAAGCCATTGCAGAAATAGAAAGAGCCCTGCTATAAATCTGTTTTGTTGTGTTTTCATTGAGCGATTTGCTCTAATAAGGTTTGGCTGTGGGAAAAAAAGTTGACTTTCTTGTTTGTTTCATCAGGATTTCCGATATGGCAACCGGACCCTGTGAAGCCTTGGAAAGGACGGAGGAAGCCCCCCAAGAGATTCCAAAAGGCGAGCTTCGGAAACAACTCAAAGAAGAGAGCAAAGAAGGTATTGATTCTGAAAGCGGGACCCCAAAGGCTATCTAGACTGACCCCATTCAGCCCAACTCAGCAAGATCCTATAAATCATGGTGAATTCTCCCCAGATCTCTCTAGTATGATCAGTTGCTGATCAATTCCTGTCTGCTGTGTGCCATACAAAATAATAGGAAAGGGTTAAGGAAGAGGCAGTGGGCGGGGTCATGCAAATTCCACACCAATGGAGACAGTCAGAAAACCATTAGACCTTCGATATGTGGCTATATTGGTGTCAGGTTTCAGGACTTGATATTATTATTATTAATTATTTATTATTATTATTATTATTATTATTATTATTATTATGCAAACAAGTGTTGTTTCTATGTGTTTATATTGGTAAAAATACGACTCCTGTCTTTCATCAGATACCAAGAATCCTCCAAGCCAAGAAGAGGTACTCAGCACTCCCAATGTAAGTAGTGGGTCTCAAGCTGGACATCGTTATCATTACATTACCCAGGTTATTTGAAGAAGTCAATTTTGTAATTGTACAAAATACATACGGTTGTGGGTGAACTACAACTCACATCATGCCAGGTTAACCCCCTGAAACTCAGTACTTAAAGTTTGTTATGTTGGGCAAGTTTGCTCTAGATGCATTGTCGGTGTGATTTCTAGCTGTATGGTGAATTGGTCCCCTCAGATCCATCCAGTAGGTTGAGTAGTTAGTTATGGGGGTTCTGTGTGGCCAAGTTTGGTCCAGGTCCATCTTTGGTGGAGGTCACAGTTTCCCTGGTTGTGGGTGAACTGCAACTCCCAGAAAGGAAGGTCGGTTTCCCGCAAACCTCTCCAGCAATCAAATTTTGACATATTACGTCTGTGTGCCAAGTTTGGTCCAGATCCATAGGTGTTTAGGTTCATAGTGCTCTCTGGATGTAGTTGAACTAAAACTCCCCCAAATCAAGATGGATTTCCCCCCAAAGACCTCCAGTATTTTTTGCTGGTAATGGGGGCTGTGTGAGTTCCAGGTCCATTGTTGGTGGATTTGAGAGTGCTTTTAGATTGAAGGTAAACTATACATCCCAGGACCTACATCTCCTATAAATCATGGTGAATTCTCCCCAGATCTCTCTAGTATGATCAGTTGCTGATCAATTCCTGTCTGCTGTGTGCCATACAAAATAATAGGAAAGGGTTAAGGAAGAGGCAGTGGGCGGGGTCATGCAAATTCCACACCAATGGAGACAGTCAGAAACACTGGGATGTCTGTGGTGGAGGAAACACATAAAATCTAGGATGAACTGGTCCCTGTATGAAAACCTTCACTTGGGTGGTGGGCAGTGTGGTGTTTGAGGAGGACATTGGCAGGGCTCTTGGACATGTTTACGGTGCTCACTATAACCTTCAGTGTCATTGGAGGAGGGCTTTTGGTGTCTTCTGAATTGTGGGAGCTATAGTTGTTTGTAGAGGTGTATGGGCACCTCAGTCACATACCCACATACATACTTTCGCTTTTATTATGTGTATAGATAGATAGATAGAATATAGATTATTATTATACCCCATAATATTAACTCATAATAACCAATAATAAACATAAAAAATATTCCAATTCTTATTGTCATGATATTATCATTAATAATAACAATAGTCCATAATAATAACCCATAATAACCAGTAATAATAAAAATATTCTTGCATTATTATTATCATGATGTTATTATCATCACTAATAATAATAGTCCATAATAATAACCGATAATAGTAATACACATATTTTTGATTATTATTATTCCGCTTTGGTCAGACCACACCTGGAATATTGTGTTCAATTCAAGACAGATATTGACAAGCTGGAATGTGTCCAGAGGAGGGCAACTAAAATGATCAAGGGTCTGGAGAACAAGCCCTATGAGGAGGCTTAAGGAGCTGGGCATGTTTAGCCTGAAGAAGAGAAGGCTGAGAGGAGATATGATAGCCATGTATAAATATGTGAGAGGAAGCCACAGGGAGGAGGGGACAGGCTTGTTTTCTGTTGCCCTGGAGCCTAGGATGTGGAACAATGGCTTCAAATTACAAGAAAGGAGATTCCACCTGAACATTAGGAAGAACTTCCTAACTGTGAGAGCTGTTCAGCAGTGGAACTCTCTGCCCCGGAGTGTGGTGGAGGCTCCTTCTTTGGAAGCTTTTAAACAGAGGCTGGATGGCCATCTGTCAGGGGTGATTTGAATGCAATATTCCTGCTTCTTGGCAGGGGGTTGGACTGGATGGCCCAAGAGGTCTCTTCCAACTCTTTGATTCTATGATTCAATGATTATTCGCCCATTATAATAACACATAATAACAAATAATCATAAGTATTCTTACATTATTATTAATAATAATGATAACTCATAATAATACTCAATAATAGCAATAAAAATAGTCTTTAAAAAGTATTATCAGCAATAGTGATAAGAAACCATAATAATCAATAATATTAATTAAATATTTTAAATTATTATTAATAATAGCCTACTATAATAATCCATAACAACCAATAATATTTAAATATTCTTGCATTGTTCGTATTAATAATTATTATAACTCATAATAATATTAAATGGTAGTAATAATAAAGTAAAATTGTTGGTTTGGAAGGGAGGTCCCCAAAGGCCGTCTAGCCCAACCCCAGGATGGCACCACTGGATCCCTCCTGACAGAGGACCATTTGGATCTGGGTTCAAAACTCCAATCCGGTGGGGTATGTTCTCTTTTCCCTCCAGGGCATAGGCAGGGGAGAAGCGGAGAAACTCCACGTCGTAGAAAAGGACCTGGAGGAGTTTGTGGACAGTGTGACGGAAGTGGCCCAACCGGCCCGCATCCCCCCGAAGCCAGCCCAGCCACCCCCGAAGGCTCCAGCTAAGTTGCCCCGAGCTGAACAAGTGGCCGAGAAAGTGCTTCGGGCGGAAAAAGTGACTGAAAGGCCACCACCACGAGTGGAGAAAGCACCGGAGAAAACACGGCCCGCGGGCCTTGCAAGTATGTGTTAGAGGGCCTAGATCAGCCACAGTCCAAGTTCAAAACATCCAGTGGGCCGAAGTTGGCCTGCGCCTGACCTGTATTGTATTATATTTCCTTTCTCTCTCCTGAAGCTCCCAAGACCGTCCCCGTGAAGAGGAAAACAACGGCAAAAGAGACGCTTCCGTGGGAAGGACTGACCCTCAATAAATGTCTCGTTGTGGCCTCTTTGGTGGCCCTGCTGAGCGTCAGCTGCCAAGTGATCCAAGGTAAGAGGAGGCTGCCTTGCCACATTAATCCACTTTGATACCACTTTAAATCCCATGGCTCCATGCAATGGAATGCTGGTGTTGCAAGTTTCCCAAGGTCTCAAGTCTTCCCTGCTCATAAGAATAATAATATAATGATAACATAGTGATATTTATTTATTCACTAGCCGTCCCCTGCCACATGTTGCTGTGTCTCAGATGGGGGTTCTGTGTGGGAGGTTTGGCCTAATTCCATCATTGGTGGGGTTCAGAATGTGATTGTAGGTGAACTACAAATCCCAGCAACTACAACTCCCAAATGTCAAGATTCTATTTTCCCTAAACTTCACCAGTGTTCACATTTGAGCATATTGAGTATTCGTGTAGAGTCTGGTCCAGATCCATCATTGTTTGAGTCCACAGTGCTCTCTGGATGTAGGTAAACTGCAACTCCAAAACCAAAGGACACTGCCAACCAAACCCCTCCAGTATTTTCTGTTAGTCATGGGAGAACTGTGTGCCAAGTTTGGTTCAATTCCATCATTGGTGGGGTTCAGAATGCTCTTTGATTGTAGGTGAACTATAAATCCCAGCAACTACAACTCCCAAATGACAAAATCATTTTTTTTTTTTTGAGTGAAGGACATACATTGGGTTGTTAGGTGTCTTGTATCCAAATTTGGTGTCAATTCATCCAGTGGTTTTTGAGTTCTGTTATTCCTACAAACGAACATTACATTTTTATTTATATAGATTATTTGATTACTATTATCCTATTATTATTAGCATTATTATATTATCATTATATCATTATTATATTATAATTTTTCCTATTATATTATCATTATATCACTATCTAACCCTGCCAAGACACAAGTGTGTGCTTTCCACCAAATTTGGACACAATCCACCTATCAGGCCAACGAGTGACCATCACTCATTAAAACACTGAAAAACACAGCAGAAGAGACTTAAAAAACCAAAAAATAAAGAATACATTACAACGCATGTGCAAAACCACACACACACATATATATACGCAAACACATATATATAAACATATACACAAATATACTGGGCCACAGCAACACGTGGCAGGGGATGGCAAGTATGGTATAATAATATTATATAATGCGAATAATATAATGCTAATATATTATATGTGCTTTATAAAATGATGATGTCCTATTTTTATCCAGTTAGGGCAAACTTATCGATACCTTGTCAGCAAACTGAAGTGCACATATTAAATGATACTTTTATTTAGACTATTGGAAAGAATTGCCTGTTTGACTTTTCCTGTGATTATTATTAATATCTGAATTTAAAATGTCCATAGATGTATTTATTTTTCTTCACCATAGCAAAAGAAAGCTCAGGAGGAGACAAGAAAATTGTTTATGGATATCTTTACCATTTTTAAATAGACTAGACTAGACATTGGGATAAATTAATTAAACATTAATTCCACTTAGTCTTTTCAATAGAGTTTTTATTACAAAGACAAAAATAATAATGCTAATGATATAATAATAATAGAATAATAAAATGATATATTTATAATAAATGAAAATATAATAATATAATGCTAATAATATAATGATATAGTGATAATATAATAAAATAAATAAAATGGTAATATAATAATGCTAATAATATAATGGTAATGATGTGACAATAGAAAAATGATATTCTATTCCTTGGTTTTAAATGTGTCACTGTGTCATTGTTTTTATTGTTCTAATGCTTTGCTTGATGTTTTATTTGCTTATGACTTTTATTGTGTATGTGTATGTTATTGTTGTTGGCGGCCTTGGCCTTTGTAAGCCGCATCGAGTCCTTCGGGAGATTTTGCGGGGTATAAATAAAGTTAATAATAATAAATAATAATATTTTTATATGATGTTATAATAAAAGTTCACTTGCTATCCTATTGTTTTACAGATATAATTGATTACAGCGAGAACGTCCTCAAGGCAGAACTGGAGGCCTGGTCCCAGCAAGAGAGTAGCATTGGCGAACTGGTGAGTGAGGATAGCAACAGCTAATAATATAATGCTAATATAATAATAATAATAATAATAATAATAATAATAATAATAATAATAATAATTTAATGATATACTGTCCTCTTGTGGCTGCATCTGAGTGTTGCATACATTCATATTTAGCGGCCAGTAGCTATTCCTTTCTATCAATACACTGCCCTCTTGTCTTTGCATTTAGCACTCCATACGGTCTTACCTAGAGGACACTAATCCTTTCTATCTCTTGTGGCTGTATCTTGGCATTGCATATGTACATACCTAGAGGCCAGTAGCTAGTTCTTTGTATTTATACACTGCCCTCTTGTGGCTGTATCTCAGCATTGCATATATACATAGAGGCCAGTAGTATATACTACCATCTTGTGGTTGCATTTGGCACTGCATACATTCTTACCTAAAGGTAAGGTAAAGGTAGTCCCCTGACATTAAGTCCAGTCATGTCTGACTCTGGGGTGTGGTGCTCATCTCCATTTCTAAGCCAAAGAGCCAGCGTTGTCCGTAGACACCTCCAAGGTCATGTGGCCGGCATGACTGCATGGAGCGCCGTTACCTTCCCGCCGGAGCGGTACCTATTGATCTACTCACATTTACACTAATCTTTTCTAGCTCTATGCTGCCCTCTTGTGGCTGCATCTGAATGCTGCATACATTCATATCTAGAGGCAAGTAGTTATCCCTTCATATCTCTATACTGTCCTCTTGTGGCTGTATCTGAGCATTGCATACACTCATATTTAGAGGCCATTAGTTGATCCTTTCTATCTCTACATTGCCCTATGGTGGCTGTATCTCAGCATTGAATATATACATACCTAGAGGCCAGTAGCTATTTATTTGTATCTATACACTGCCCTCTTGTAGTTGCATTTCAGCACTACATACATTCATGTTTAAAGGCCAATAGCTATTGTGTTATATCTATATACTGCCCTCTTGTGACTGCCTTTGGCACTGCATACAGTCTTTATTTAGAGGCCAATGGTTAATCCTATCTATACACTGCCCTCTTTTGGCTGCATCTGAGCACTGCATACATTCATATTAAGAGACCAGTAGCTTGGTGGTGCAGCGGGTTAAAGCACTGAGCTGCTGAACTTGCTGACCAAAAGGTTGGTGGTTTGAATCTGGGTGAGCGCCTGGGTGTTAGCTCCAGCTTCTGTCAACCAGCAGTTCAAAAAAATGCAAATGTGGGTAGATCAATAGGTACTTCTATGGGAAGGTAGCGGTGCTCCATGCAGTCATGCTGGCCACATGACCTAGGAGGTGTCTACACACAACGCCGGCTCTTCAGCTTAGAAATAGAGATGAGCACCACCCCTCAAAGTCGGACATGACCTTTACCTTTACCTATTCCTTTCTATATACTGCCCTCTTGTGGTTGAACCTGACTTCTGTATCCACACATTTCCAACTATTCGTTTTGGGGGCCTGTAGCTCCAAATGCAATGGATTATTTTGCTGCAAACCCCACCATTAATTTAAGTGGGATCAAGACGGGTCTGTGGGCCGTGTTGGGTTCCAATCCACGAAGCCACGGAGACTCAAATTTACATATATACACACACACGTTTATCTCGGCAATGTTTGTGTTTGCAGGATGAACGCTGGTTTTACGAGAAGTGGTTCGACTGGTCGGATACGGAGGAGCCACCAGATATAGAGGAGGAAGAAGAAGAAGAAGAAGAAGAAGAAGAAGAAGAAGACGAAGAAGAAGAAGAGATGGTGGAAACGGAAGAAGAGGAGAAGGAGGAAATGGAAGAGGAGGTGGTAGCAGAGAAAGGAGAGGACGAAGAGGACGAAGAGGAGGAGGAGGAGGAGGAGGAGGAGGAGGCAGCCAGGAAAGAACCAGTGGCCAAGGGGCGGCCCAAGACGGGCCGGAAAGAAAAGCCGGCCAAAGAGAAGAAGGTCAAAGGTCTCAGGGCCGGCCTGAAAGAAGAGGAAGACCGCCACAGCAAGAAGAAGGGAAAAGAGGAGAAAGAGGAGGAGAGCAAGGCACGGAAGCGAACACGGCGCCCAAAAGAAGGAGGAGACGAGGTCGAAAAGGGCCGCCGCAAAACGGAGAAGGACTCCAAAGCCCATGAGCGGAAGGAGAGGAAGCCACGGGCAACAGAGCGGTCCTTCTTCCCTTCGCACAAAGTGGGGAAGCCCAAGGGGCCGGAGGGCAAGAGGCGGGCCTGAGGACACCCTCCCTTTCGCCTTTTCTGACCTCAATTCGGGCTGGGACATTCCCACTGGTTATTGTTTTGGAAAATGTCCCAGTTTCTCTTTCCTCCTACCTTCATTTGCAGCTCATTTCAGTTGCTGCAAGCGCTCCTTGAAGGACAAAAGAGAGCCGATTTCGCCCTTCCCAAAGCAAAGTGCTGCAGCCTCTCCTATGTTTGGTGTATATGTTTCTATCCTCCTTCTTGACCACCTCCTGATGTTGTTTGGCCACACAACTTAATGAATTTGCATATATATGTATGCTTTCTCCCTTCTCCAGCTCTGAAAAGGATTCCTTCACTATGTCCCCAGTGCTAAGTTGCTCCTAGATGCTCCAGCCCTCCATTGATTACCATCTATTATTATATAGATAGCCAATATATATGTATGTATTAGCCATCACTTGGCTGCTTTCCCCCTTCTCCAGCTCTGGAAAGAACTCCGTTGCTACGTCTCCAGCTCTAAGTTGGTCCTAGACGCTCCAGCACTCCATTGATTACCATATATACAAGATATGTGTATGAGCCATTGCTTGGCTGCTTTCCCCCTTCTCCAGTTCTGAAAAGGACTCCTTGCAGTTGAAATACCACAATGATTTTACATTGGGTACCAAAGGGCCTGTGTGCCAAGTTTGGTCCAGATCCATCACACCATGTAAGAGCCTTTGTGGGACAAACATACCTACCTACGTACTTTGACTTTTATATATATCTAGATTTGAATCTCTTTGGATGTAGAAAGGGATGCGGATTTTGGGGAGCAATCTGCTTCTTCTTGCCTCAGACTCCTAGTAACCTCCAACTCACAAAATGACCTCAAAAGGGATGTTTCTCCCCATTTTCGGTTTACCTTTGCCTCAGTTGCCTCATCTCTTTTTGTGTTGAATTCAGATATATAATTGGAAGCCTTGTCACTGTTTATAACCCCAAAAGCTCAAACTTCCGAGAAGCCACTTTTGGTTGACTTCTAGGTTTCCTCCTATTAAATTGGGAGAATTCTCGTATTCCTTTTCCTCTTTCGTCTTGCACAAAATAAAGGAAATATTTCTCCTAGCGTAGCATCATTAATAGTATATAACTGGGAACTAAGTGTGATCCAATTATGGGTGTGTGTGTGTGTGTGTATATATATGGTATTATTATAATATTTTAATATTATTTGTATTATTTCTATTATTATATTTTAATATTTATTATGTTAATAATATTATTAATTGCAATATATTTTAATATTTATCATTATTGTATTATCACTTAATATTACTTGTATATTTATATTATTTATTATAATATTGTTTGCTAATATGTTGTATTATTATTTATTTTAATATTTATTATTTATTGTATTAATATTATTATATGTTAATATTATTATTTATTGCATTATTATGTTTTGATATTATTTATTTTAATATTTATTATTGTATTAATATATTATTATTATTATTATTATTATTATTATTTTACTGACACAAAAACACAGTATGTCACAGCAAATGAGATCTACATGCTGGATTTCGTATCACAAAATCACAGTCGAACACTTCCCAAGCATTTGGGACTGTGTAATGTATTTTCGAAAGATGTTCGCAGATCCAAGTAAGATGGCCTTTTGCAGTTGACAGATCGTGATTTTGTCAATGTTTACTGTTTCCAAATGCTGGCTGAGATCTTTTGGCATGACACCCAGTGTGCCAGTGACTACTGGGACCACCTGTACTGGTTTATGCCAGAGCCTTTGCAGTTCGATTTAGTGGTCTTGATAGCGGCTGAGTTTTTCCTGTAGTTTTTCCTCAATGTGGCTGTCACCCGATATGGAGACATCAATAATCCAGACTTTTTTCTTTTCCACAATCGTGATGTCTGGTGTATTGTGTTCCAAACTTTTGTCGGTCTATTATTATTATTATTATTATTATTATTATTTGACTTCACATTATTTTTCTCAATATTGGACAGCATTTTTTTCTATGCAGAAACATCAATTTATTTATTTATTTACAGTATTTGTATACCGTTTTTCTCACCCCGAGGGGGACTGAAAGCGGTTTCAAAATTCAATGCCAGTACAAACAACTACAATTATACATTACAATTAGACATAAATCAAATTAAAAATACATCCATAAGCAGTAAAACAATCATTAAAACAGTAAAACAATTTAGAAGAGACATTTATTTCATAAACCATAGACTGCCTTCCAATATTTCTCCATTCTCTCTAAAGGCAAGCTTGAAATCATCTGTAACATACTACACACGTGATCTTAGCCAAAAGGCCGAGAAGCGTAACATACTACAAACCACAGGAAAGACATAAAAGCGTAACGTACTATAAACCACTGGAAAGCCACACTAAAACTATTTTGGGAGCAACTGGTAAACAATATACACGGGATAATATTGAGGGGCAAGAAAATACCCTTGAAGGACTAGATAACTTCCACAGACAGAACATTGAAATAGAATACCAAACTAAAATATCAGTTAAGCAGAGCTTAGGATAAAGTCCAATACAGCCATAGGGGCGCATCTCAAAATCCATAATTTTGGTCCCCATATCTTGAATGATACATGAGGTTGATTTATATGTGAATAGCTATTACATATATAATAAAATGACTTCATTTCAAGGGCACGTTTTGGGTCCAAAATTATGGGTTTTGAGATGACCTCCTATGATTTTCTGAAAATCAGAGAAGTTGATATCAAATATAAATGGCTGTATAGGATAATAATTTGAAAGCCATAGGATCTCATATTAAAATCCAAAATTTGCCGTCAGCTTATACATGACATCAACGTATTCATGAGTATATAGGGTGGCCATAGGATCTCATCAAAATCTATCGTTTGGGTCTCATGAGGTCGACATATATATGGATATACATGGCAGTTATCGGTGCTCATATCAAAATCCATAGTTTCGGTCCCATGAGGTCAATATATATATATTAATATATATGATAGCCATTGGAACTCATATCAAAATCCATATTTTGTGTCCCAAAACCTGCCCTCGACATACATCACGTCAACATATACATGAGGATATAGGATAGCCATAGAAGCTTGTATCAAAATCTAGAATGGTCATCATTTGGAAGCCATAGGAGCTCGACTCAAGGGTCCTTGAGTTATACATCACATCTATATGGTAAGCGCTCAAAAGTCGTAGGAGTTTGTATCAAAAATCCATCACTGTGGTTCCCAAATGTGTCTTCGGCTTATACGTGAGTATATATGATAGCTGTAGGAGCTTAGATTAAAGTCCCATCATGGGATCAATGTAGACGCAGGTCTACAAAGTACCAAGGAGAGAAGTGCTGCGCTACCGTCGTGGGGACTCTGGTTTTGTGAGTCTCGCAGACGACTCCCCCCTCTACCGGCACCCGCATGCTTTGGCCACCATGTCCGGGTAGACCTTCACCATTAGCCCTTGGTCGCTGGTGAAGGTGACCATATGGCTCTGGGCATACTTGACCGGCACACAGCAGGGGGCCCGGTCCAGTGGCGAGCCTTGTTCCTGCATCCGCAAGAGGAAGATGGTGTGGGAGTAATAGTCGGAGACCCGGGTGGAGAGCGGGCTGCGGCAGGGCCCTGCGCAGTTGTTGGCGTTGTACGACTCGGGCAAAATGATGTATCCGGTGGACACCAGGTCGACTTGCAGGTCTCGCAGCTGGCAATAATCATCACTGCGGCGGCCGCTGCTATCTCGGGTGCTGCGGTGGGCTCGCCTTGATTCCCGCCAGTGGGCCCGCATGGCTTGGAGGGCTTTGAGCAGCAAAAGGCTGTGAATTTTGCTTCTTGGACCCCTTTCGCCATCTGACTTCAATGTAATCCCATGTGGCAGGTAGCAGAAAGCTGTCAGGGTACGGAAAAGCTCAGCATTGGCTTGGAAGGCCGGCATGGGCTTGAGGTCCCGGATCACCTCACGCAGCTTGTCCATCATCTGCTGCAGCAAGGGCCCCTCTAGGTGCCAGTTCTCCACCTGGTCCTCCGCCAAGGCCCGGCCGTCTTCTGGAAAGAGGACCACCAAGTGGTCCTCGGAGCGCACCAATCGCTCCAGTGCCACCTCTTCGGACAGGTTGAGGCGCAGGTGAGGGAGGGCCTCCATGGTGTCAAAATCTAGGCGCAAGCGGGTTCGGACAGCAGACCCCGAATCCACAGTGGGGCTCAGGATTTGGTGAACAAAGCGGGAGAGGCAAGCCAGGAAGCGGCGAGTGTCGGAGGGCGCTGAAGTGTTCGCGGCACCAGACGGTGGCACTTCAGGTACTCTGAGGGTGGGCAAAGCACTGGTAAGGACAGAAAGCAGAACTTGTGAGATAGAAATGGCACAGTGTTTCTAATCATATAATGGCTGAGTCACAACCATGTGGGGTGTATTACAAAGGGGTTACATCAGCTGTTGTCCCTTACTGATGACCTGTCAGCAGGTGGTTATCTAATGAGAATGAAAGAATCCATCTTTTGGTGGGTTGCTGTGAGTTTTTTGGGCTATATGGTCATGTTCCAGTAGCATTCTCTCTTAATGTTATGCCTGCCATAGATGCAAACTAAACATCAGGAGAGAATGCTACTGGAACATAGCCATACAGCCCGAAAATCTCACAGCAACCCAGTGAATCTGGCCATGAAAGCCTTTGACAACACCATCCATCTTTCTCTCTCCTGTGTGACTCATTCTGAGTATCTGTCTGTTCTGTATGTGACTCTCTGAGGATCTGTTCGCTTACAAGGACAAGCCTGAAAGCGGATCTGCGTATCCTGATTGTGCATTTTGTATATATTACAATAGTGAAGATCAAAGCCTTTAGATATTTTGAATGAAAACCTGAATCCATGAGTTTACTAAACAGTGTATACCTAAGGTCAGATGCTGGCAGTTGGACTCTGCTGATAGACAGGCTTAAGCGTGTTTTGCTGAGATAGAACTTTGCTGTGTTTTCCCTTGCTTCCAGGACACTTGATATCCAAAGTGCAGCAGTTGAGGGGGGTCATGATTTGGAAACTATACATCATTCCATGAACCCACCCCATGACAAAACAAGCCGTCACCATCTCGTTTGTCAAATATAGAATCCTAGTGTTGGAAGGGACCCCAAGGGCTATCTGGTCCAACCCCCTTCTGCTAGGCACATTATGCACAAAGCCCTCCCAACAGACAGTCATCCAGCGCCTGCTCATCATCATCATCATCATTATCATCATCATCTGTATTAACGACTTGGAATATGGAATGGAGAGCAAGCTGACCAAGTTTCCAGGTGGCTCCAAGTGTTGTCGAGCAATTTAGAATGGCTGCAGATAGACCAAAACCATTGTGGGTTGCCTGGTGAGAAAAGAGAAGCCAATATTCCATAATAAATCTCCCCAAGTTGAAGAGAAAGCCACCGAGATGTTTATTTCATTCCAGCTGGAACGGATGTCAAACCGCAATCATTTGCCCAGAAGCTGACATAATTCACAAGGCAAAACAACACAGTTTTTATAGGAAATACAGAGCTGTCAAATTCAAATTTCCTGCTCCCGTTCCCCCTAGCTGGCTTCACACTGATTGGTTGGAGTCATCAGCTGGCTGGGAGGCGCTGCCGGCTTGACTATGCCTTGCCCAATCAGAGAGCCAGCGCCGCTTCGGCCTCTCAGCCAATGAGAAGAGAGGAGGCCGGCCAGGTGGGAAGCAATGAATGAAGAGGGAAGAAGATAAGATTTAAAATGACTAATGATTGTCTAAGTGGTCAGCAATAGCTTTCTTTTAGCCCTCAAGCTGGCCAGGCTATTGTCTTGTTTCTCTTGAAAATACATTTTCGTCTGGCTCAGAGGCCAGTCCTTTGTTGTCCTTCCATCCTTGATATGGGATCCATTGATGAGATATGAGACTGGTATCGGCCAGCTGGGTTGGCACAATGAAAAGGAAGCTGTGGTAAAACCTAATCCTCTGCAGGCAGGATGGCACCCTTTGTGTTGGTGGATCAAGATGCTCAGAGGTCTTATCTCCAGATGGACTAGCCTTTTGCCCTCCAAGATCTGGCTGATAAGAACCAGTTATTTATTGTTCATGCAAATGGGCTTGGGGAAACCTTTTGTTAGGGGATTAGTGGCTCAGGAATTTGAGAAATGCTTCCTGGAGCCATGAGGTCTGGATTCCTGAAAAAAAAAAGATGGCTTTCCTTCATTTTTCAAAATATAGACATACACACATATATTGGTATTGGGAAGGAAAACATACAAGGAATTCATAAGGGATAAATCATGCAAGACCAAAGGGATCCCTGACAGTTTTCCCTCCCTCCAAAGTCCATAAAAGTCCATAAAGAGTTGTGGGAATTCATAATAGATTCATAGGGGTTTGGCAGAGGGTGCCTGAGAGTTTCAAAGTTCCTCAAAAAAGTTGATTAAAGTTCCAAAAAGTTTCAAAAGTTCCTAAAAGTTGGGGAAAAGTTCATAAGAGTCCATGGGGAGCATATTGGAATTACTGTGAGTGCTGAGGGTCGAGATCCATTCATTGAAGAGGAGAAAACTATAAATCCAATTAATAAATAATAGCCAAACATGGGGGAGAGATATGGCATAACGGGATCATTCCAGCCTGGTGTACTTGGCAAAACTATGATTTCCCTGATTTTGAATGATCTTTTACAGAATCCCAAAGGGGTGTGTGTGTGTCTCCTCTGATATCACAGTGGAAAGGAGAGCTAAGGTAGTGTAGATGCACCCAGAGAAAAAGACGCTGTAAGAAAGCCAAGCTCACCTGGGTGCCAGGTAAGGAGCTATATCCAACTTGTCGCCGGCAGCGAGGAAAGAAGAATCAAGAGGCGGAAGGGATGTGGATCCAGGTTGCCGCTTCACCAAGAGCAACACCATCGGAGTCATGCGGGTGAAACACTTTGGGTCGAAGCCGAAGAGGAGGTCCTGAGCTTCCCGAGAGGAGAGGGGAACATCTGAAGCAAAGGGACAGACATTTTAAAAAGGGAATCCTAAAGGTCATCTTGGAAGCTAAGCAGAACTTGGGGTGACACTATCCAAGCCCTCCCGACAGAAGGCCATCCCACCTGCAGAGGTCTCTGTCGCACCCATACCTGGATGGCTCTGACGCCGGATTTCCAAGGAAAGTTCGAGGCTCAGGTGGCCGGCGCCATGTCTCCCCAAAACCTCTGAGCCTTGGAGGACAAGGAAGCGGGTTCCCCTGGAGAGGCAAATGACCTAAGAAGGGAAACAAGAAAGGGAAAACACATAGGCTGTCCCAGATGCATCAACATGGGAGATCGTCAGACCCAAAGCGGAGTCCCTTTAGACCCCATACTGTTTCCCCCTTGGACCCCATATAGCTGTCCCTTATACCCCATATTGTTACCCCTTGGACCCCGTATAGCTGTCCCTTATACCCCATATTGTTACCCCTTGGATCCCACATAGTTGTCCTTTAGACCCCATATTGTTGCCCCCTTTGACCTCATATAGCTGTCCCTTATACCCCATAATGTTAACCCTTGCATCCCATATAGTTGCCCCTTGGACCCCAATAGAACTGTCCCTTGGACCTCATATTGTTACCCCTTACATCCCATATAGTTGCCCCTTGCATCCCATATAGCTGTCCCTTTAGACAGCACATTGTTGCCCATTGTATCCCATATAGCAGACCCCATACTGTTACCCCTTCGATCCCATATAGCTGCCCCTTGGACCCCATATTGTTGCCTCCTTGGACCCTAATAAGGATGTGTCTACACTGTAGAATGACCACAGTTTGACACTCACTACCTCTGAGGATGCTTGCCATAGATGAAGGCGAAACGTCAGGAGAGAATGCCTCTAGAACATGGCCATATAGCCTGAAAAAACCTACAACAAACCAATGATTCCGGCCAACCCAGTTTGACACTACTTTATAACTCAATGCTGTGGCTGTACTATAACGACCGCCTTGTATTATAACTCCCATGTTTCCATAGCACTGAGCCCACTGCGGTCAAAGTGGTGCCCAACTGAATTCGTTTTGCAGTGTAGATGCACTAAGGATGAACGGGGACCAAATAGCGCACCACTCTGTTAATCCCAGATTTGGCAGAAATAATCCCGATTAATCCTCCACTGTCCCGCTTTCTCAGCAACTTTTGCAATGTCCTGGCTTCTCTCTGTCCTCAGATGACTTTGAAATGGCTGCAAAGTTTGCATTGAACTTATGGAGATTTAAAATCCTGCCCTTCCCTGGTGGCAATGGCAAAAGCAAACTGTGGCACAATTTGATGCTATCTAGCCACCCTAAATATGTCTGTCCGTACCTGTTCTGGGTGGAGACCTTCTCCCCCGATCAGGAATGTCTCCCGGTTGCTTCCGCTGTCTCTCCCACCTCGGTAAAACACCAAAAGGGCATGTTGCGGAGGTCCCATGGACTCTCCGACCTCCTCCTGAAACATCACCTTGAAGCGGAGTTTCGTCTCGGCTTCCCATTTCACTGCCAGAAGGAAAGACCAAAAAAATGCAGAATATAAAATAAGAGTGCAACTATGACTTCTCTCAATTTTAGACACTAGATTCCTATGGATGCAACCTATAATTGCGTTGGCTTTTTTCGCTGCTGCATTATGCTGTCGGCTCACTTTCAGCCTGTGATCTATTTCTCTCCATTTAACACTAGACGAATATGGATGTAGACTATTATTGTATTGCCTTTTTTGATGCAGCACCACACTTTTATGTCAAATTATTATTATTATTATTATTATTATTATTATTATTATTATTATTATTACCCCTCTTTTCCTCTCCACAAAGGCAACTCAAAAATGCTAGCATTAAAAGCACTTCAATACGATATTTCACTGCAGCGTAATACTGTTGGTTCATGTTCCATTTGTGGGAATAATAATAATAATAATAATCATAATCATCATCTATACAAATACAAGTACTATACAAATAATAAAAGTGAATATATATGTATGTGTGTGTGTGGCTGGGTTGTCTACTTACACAGACAAGCTCCTGCCTCCACAAACAGCTATAGCTCCCACTCCTCAGGAGACACCAAATACTGCCCAAGGGGACAAAGTGCATAAGGTTGTGGGTGAACTACAACTCACATCATGCCAGGTTAACCCCGAGAAACTCCATCAGTCCTAAAGTTTGTTATGTTGGGCAAGTTTGCTCTAGATGCATCATCAGTGGTGTTCAGTGTGTTCTCTGGCTGTAAACTACAACTCCTACTATGATGAGTCAGTCCCCTCAAACCCCTCCAGTGGGTTGAGTTAGTCATAAGAGTTCTGTGTGCCAAGTTTGGTCCAGGTCTATAATCGGAAGAGGTCACCATTACTCTGGTTTGGTTGAACAACAACTCCCAGAAAGGAAGGTCAGTTCCCTCCAAACCCCTCCATTAATCAATTTTTGGCATATCAGGTCGGTGAGCCATGTTTGGTCCATATAACATTGGTGTTTGGGTTCACAATGGTCTCTGGATCTAGGTGAACTACAACTTCCCCAAATCAAGAGTGAATTTTCCCCAAAGACCTCCAGTATTTTTTGCTGGTGATGGAGACTCTGTGTGGCAAGTTTGGTCCAATTCCATCTTTGGTGGAGTTCAGAGTGCTCATGGATTGCAGGTGAACTATAAATCCCAGTACCTACAACTCCAAAATCTCCAGCCCAATTCCCCTCCAAACCCACTAATTCGGACAGAATTGGGCATATCAGGTATGCATGTCAAGTTTGGTCCACATCCATCACTCTTTGTGTTCATAGTGGGCTCTGAATGTAGGTGAACTACAACTCCTATATATCCCTCCAAAGATCTCCAGGTTTTTTTCTTTCTTGGTCATGGGGGTTCTGCGCCAAGTTAGTTCCAAGTCTATCATTGGTGGAGTTCAGAGTCCTCTTAGATTGCAGGTGAACTATACATCCCAGGACCTACAACTCCTGTAAATCATGGTGAATTATCCCCAAACCTCTCCGTATGTTCAGTTGCTGATCAATTTCTGTTTGCTATGTGCCATAGAAAAGAATAGGAAAGGGTTAAGGGAGAGGCAGTAGGCGGGTCATACAAATTACACATCAATGGAGAGACTAAGAAACACTGGGATGTCTGTGGCGGAGGAAACACATAAAATCTAGGATTAAATTGTCCCCAAGTGAAAGCCTTCACTTGGATGGTGGGCAGTATGGCGTTTGTGGAGGAGATTGGCAGGGCTCTTGTACATATTCATGGTGCTCACTATAACCTGTAATGCCATTGGAGGGAGGGCCTTTGGTGTCTCCTGACACATAGAGATTTTCCCTGTTATTATGTGTGCATAGATAGAAGATATATATACATATACATACATATATATTTTGTTATATTGTGTATATATATAATTTAAGCAGAGTAAAAACCCACCAAGCCTTGGCAACAAGAATCAGAATACTCATGGAAAAAATAGGATTCTTACACTTCGAAAGGGACCCTAGAGGTCATTTAGTCCAACCCCTTGCTGTTCTTATGCCTTATCTCAAGTAACAGACGTTAATTTGGGCAAATATATCCCCTATTAGTTCAACTGAAAGGCTCCTAAGGAAATGCGCTTATATGGATGGATGGACAGAAGGACAGAATTATGGACGGAAGGACGGAGCAAAGGAAGGATTGAATTGAAGGACATCTCTTATATAATAATAATAATAATAATAATAATAATAATAATAATGATAATAATAATAATAAAAGGTAGGTAAAGGTAGTCCCCTGACATTAAGTCCAGTCATGTCTGACTCTGGGGTGTGGTGCTCATCTCCATTTCTAAGCCGAAGAGCCAGCGTTGTCCGTAGACACCTCCAAGGTCATGTGGCCGGCATGACTGCATGGAGCGCCGTTACCTTCCCGCTGGAGCGGTACCTATTGATCTACTCACATTTGCATGTTTTCGAACTGCTAGGTTGACAGAAGCTAGGGCTGACAGCGGAAGCTCACGCCGCTCCCCGGAATCGAACCTGCGACCTTTCGATCAACAAGCTCAGCAGCTCAGTGCTTTAACCCACTGCGCCACCAATAATACTCTGGCACAAACCAGTAAAGGTGGTCCCACTGGTGATCGGCCCACTGGGTGCAGTGCCTATAGACCTTGGCCTGCACTTAAACACAAAATTACCATCTGCCATCTGCAGAAGGCCACCTTACTGGGATCTGCATGCATTATTTGCGGATACATCACACAGTCCTAGTCACTTGGGAAGTGTCCGACGTGTGATCCAATACAACAGCCAGCAGAGTGATCTTGTTTGCTGTGGACTCATCTTGTGTTTCTAATAATAATAATAATAATAATAATAATAATAATAATAATAATAGGTGACTGAAAGACCTTGAGAGGCCCATAAACATTTCCATTGAATGTGAGGAAAGTGGGTCAGTGAAACCGTGGATAAGGAGACCCCTATTGTACTTGGAGTTGCGGCTACAAAGGCATCCCTGTGTTTTTGCCCTTCCGATAGCAGCCAAGGAGAAAGCACCATATCTGGAATGTTTTGATTTATATTTTTAACAAGCTGTTACAATCTAAACTTCGGAGAGATTGGGGAAGTTTATCTCCAAACGATGGGAACTTCTGGTCCCCTTGGAAAGTCGGTGTTTTCTGTGTGCTTCCATTGTTCCTTTCTTTGCGACTGCACTTTTGTGTTTGTGTGTGTTGGACGGCAATCCCCATTGGCCAACAAAGCAACTAATGAAGACTTCCATTAACGTTTGGAAGTTTCCACCTTCTTGTCCAATTTATTTGCTCGTACAAGACCGTTTTATCCTAAAGCAGGAATGGAGCTGGGGGGGAAAAGAGACACTTCCGGACTACAGTTCCCATCTCCAACACAATCAATGTAGGCATGCTAGGGGCTGCAGTTCACGTGGAAAGCCAATACCTTTTGCTCATTTTATAGTTGAAAAAGAGAACAAAAGAGGCATCAGGGAAATGAAGGCAGATGGGAAAGAGGGAATAAGAGTTGGTTGAACTGCAATGCCCAGCATCCTCACTCTTGCTAAGGGTGGCTGGGGCTTCTGGGAGAAACAGTGCAATAGTTTATGGAGAGTTCCATGGAAGGAAAGGAAACAGAGGGGGAAGAAAGGATGAAAGGAGGAAGGGATGAAGGATGAAAGGACAGATGGAAGGAAGGAGTGAAGAACAGAAGGAATGATTGATAAAATGAAGAATGGAAGGAAGAAACCAAGGAAGGAAAGATAAAAGGATGGAGGAAAGAAAGGAAGGAAGGAAGGAAGGAAGGAAGGAAGGAAGGAAGGAAGGAAGGAAGGAAGGAAGGAAGGAAGGATAGAATAAAGGATGGAAGGAAGGAACAAAGGAAGGAAAGATTAAAGATGAGGGAAGAGTGGGAGGGAGGGAGGAAAGGATGAAAGGAAAGATGGCTAGAATAGAGCATGAAAGGAAGGAGAAAGAAAAGATGAAAAGAGGGAGGGAGCAAAGGAGCAAAGGAATGATGGGTGGAAGGAATTATGGATAGAATGGATGAAAAGGAGCAAAGGAAGGACAGATGAAAGAAAGGAGGTAGGAAAGGAAGGAAGGATAGATGGAAGGAAGGAGCAAAGGAAAAATGGATGGATGGATGGATGGAAGGAAAGATGGATAAAACGAAAGATGAAAGGAAGGAACAAAGGAAAGAAAGATGAAAGGAAGAGGGAGAGAAGGAAAGAAAAGAAAGGTGAAAGGATGGATGGAAGGATAGGTAGAATGGAGGATGAAAGGAAGGAGCAAAGGAAGAAAAGATGAAAGGAGGAGGGAAGGAAAGGAGGAATGGATGGAAGGAAGGAGCAAAGGAAGGATGGATGGATGGAAAGATGGATAGAATGAAGAATGGAAGGAGAAAAGGAAAGAAAGATGAAAGGAGGGAAGGAATGAATGGAAGGATGAACGGAGGGATGGAAAGAAAGAATGATGGAATGAATGAAGGATGGAAAGAAGGAGCCAAGGAAGGAAAGATGAAAGGAGGGAGGAAGGGAAGGAAGAATGAAAGGAAGAATGGATGGATGGAAGGAAAGATGGATAGAATGAAGGTTGGAAGGAAGGAGCAAAGGAATGAAAGATGAAAGGAGCGAGAGAGGGAAGGAAAGCAAGGAAAGATGGATAGAATAAAGGATGGGAGGAAGAAGCAAACGAAGGAAGGATGAAAGATAAAAGGAGGGAGAGAAGGAAAAGAAGGATGAAAATAGGAATGGAAGAAGTGAAGGAAAGATGGATGGATGAAAGAAAAGAATGAAGGATGGCAGGAAGGAGCAAAGGATGGAAAGATGAAAGGAGAGAGGGAATGAAGGAAAGGAAGCAAAGGTTGGATGGAAGGAGTGGGGAGGGAGTGAAGGAAGATAAAGAATAGAGAGTGGAAATAAGGGGAAGAGGACAAAGAGAGACGACTGCTAAAAATGTAAAGAATTAAGAGCCTTCCTCCCAGCCTATTTTTATGTGTTAATTTCCTTTTAAGACATGAGCTCCTCTGTGTTTGTATTTCCCACTTCCTTTCCTGCCATATAACCTACCTTCTTCTAGGTGAAGCAGGAGGAAACGGCTCTCCCTGGGGTCAGCCAGGCTTTCTCCGACCTGCCGAAGGGAGGAGAGGAGGCCACGGTCTCCAGTCTCCATGGGGCAGATTCCAAAGGCCTCTTGCTCTTCTGGGCCCCAGGCTGAGCGGCCAAGTGCTTTCAGGAACCCGCTGTCATATCCAGTCAGGAGACCAACTACCTCGATGTGGTTGGGGCCCCAGACGCTGCCTTGGTCCAGCTTCACCCGGCAGACCGGTTCTTCGGGGGACCATGGCTGGAAGCCATCTCCCAAAGTCCCCAAGACCTCTCTATGTGCCAAGGTCTGACCTGGTTGAGAGACCTTTGAGCGAGGTCCAACACTGTCTGTGGCTTCATCTTCCCCTCTGAACTCAGGGGTCTTCATCCCTCTCTGAAGACTTTCCAAGATAACTGTAGCTTCATCTTCTCTTGGAACCTCTGGGCCTCCAATCTTAGAGACCTTATGCCTTTTGTGAAGACCATCCAAGACATCTATAGGTTCGTCTTCCCTTGAAATCTCAGATCCTCCAAACTTGGAGAGGCTTGCTCCCCTCTGAAGACCTTCTTCCAAGACATCAGTGGCTTCATCGTCTCCTGGAAGTTTGAATCCTCCCAACTTGGAGACCTTTGCCCCTCCATGAAGACCTTCCAAGACATCTCTGGCTTTGTCTTCTTCTGGGATTTCAGATCCTCTGAACTCAGTGGCCTTTGGTTGTCTCTGAAGACCTTCCGAAACATCCTTAGCTTCATCTTCTCTTGGCATCTCAGATCTTGCAAACTTGGTGACTTCTACTCCATCCCAAAGACCTTCTTCTGAGATAGCTGTGGCTCCATCCTCGACTGGAATCTCAGATCCTCCAGACTTGAAGACCTTCTGTCTTTTGGGATGCTCTTCCAAGACATCGATAGTTTTGTCTTGTCTTGGAATCTCAGCTCCTCCAAACTTGGAGCGTGTCGCTCCCTTCCAAAGACCTTCTTCCAAGATGTCTGTGGCTTCATCTTCTCCTGGAATCTCAGATCCTCCAAACGTAGAGACCTTATGTCTTTTGTGAAGACTCTCCAAAACATTCATGGCTTCATCTTTACCTGGAATTGTGGATCCTCCAAACTCTGAGAGCTTTACTCCTCTATGATGACCTTCTGAGAGATCTGTGGTTTCCACCTCTTCTAGAATTTCAGATCCTCCAAACTCAGAGACCTTTAGTCCTCCTTGAAGACCATCTGAGACATCCATAGCTTCATCTTCTCCAGGAATTTCAGATCCTCCAAACTCTGTTGCTCCTCTCTGAAGACCCTGTCCTGAGAGGTCCTTCTCAGGGATGGAGCTGGTCTCCAGGATCAATGAGAGAGCCAACAGGATCCCTCCGGCTGCAACCCACATGGCTCAGCTTCTTCCACAGAGTCACAGTCCCTTCCCAGACTCTCTCCCAAAAAGTCCAAAATGGAGAAAAGACATCTTTTGCCCTCTGCAAAATGAGAGCCTGACACATCCGCAGACCAGGCAGAGAAGTGTCCTGCTTCCTTCTCCTCCGATAGGTGTCCTTGACAATACACACACTGCACCTCTTTGGGAGGAATTCAGAGTGAAAAGGGAGGGCCTGTCGAATGCACAAGGAACCCTTTCTGTTCTATTTTCAGGCACTGGGTTTATCTCAAAAGGCGGGAGGCTTCAAGACTCAACCTTGACTTGAAAGGGAATTTTTAAAAATTCTATTTCCCCCTCCTCCAAAGGATCAAAGCGGAAAAACGCAAAAAACAACCAACAGTCTAGACTTCAATATATTATCATCACAAGCATCTTAAAAGGGTTAGAAAAGTCCCTTTGATACCAATGCCTTTGTTAGTCCAGGTGTGGAAATATAGCCCATGGGATGCGTGGTTTGTTTCCCAACCAAGTACAAACTACAACTTATACCGAATCCAATGGAACCTGAAATCTTTTATTGTTCGAAACCTGGAATGTTATTATATGCTGTATGCAGTGCAAATAGAAAGGCATGCTGCTTGGATCCTCCAAAAACTAAAGTACTGAGTTGTCTGTTGCTTTGTTTTGCATATTGAAATGTTATTTTTGGCCCTTTCCACATTTATTTCCCTCTCCAATACCAAGAAACAAAGCCCTGGAACGTGTCTGGAAGAATGATGGAGATGTACCAGCAACACACCAGCTGGGTCGAGTCTTCCTTTGAATCTTAAGTTTTTGCCTGCTTACAGAAGGGCTTCTAATACAGTATCACGTTTGGAGATACAAAAGGGTCTTTTTCAAGTCTTAAAGAGCTTCGGAATTATTCATGAATGATCCTGGGTCTTCAAAGCTGAGGCTGGAAGGCCAGATGTTGGGAGGGTTTGGACTGTATTTTCTCATGTGGCAGAAAGCGGTTTGGACCGGCTGGCCTTTGGGCCCTCTTCCAAAACTAGGATCCTTTCACCTATCTCACTTTCTCTCCCTCCCTCTCTTTTTATTCATCTGTCTCTATCTATGTATCTATCCTTCTATCCATCGATCTATCTTAGGAGGTTGGACTGGATGGTCTTTTGGGGCCTCTTCCAACTCTAGGATCCTATTTCTCTTTCTCTCCCTCCCATTCTTTGTATTCATATCTATCGATCTATCTATTCTTCTATCGATCTACCTTAGGAGGTTGGATTGGATGATCTTTTGGGGCCTCTTCCAACTCTAGGATGCTTTCACCTCTCTCTCTCTCTCTCTCCCTCCCCTTCTTTGTATTCAAATCTGTCTATCCATCCATTGAGCTATCTCAGGAAGTTGGATTGGATGGCCTTTGGGGCCTCTTCCAACTCTATGATCCTTTTACCTATCTCTCTTTCTCTCCCTCCCACTCTTTCTATTCATATCTATCTATCTATCTATCTATCTATCTATCTATCTATCTATCTATCTATCTATCTATCTTTCCTTCTATCTATCCATCAATCTATCTTAGGAGCCTTTAGGGACTCTTCCAACTCTAGGATCCTTTCACCTATCTCTTTCTCTCCCTCTCTATTCATCTATCTATTTATCTATCTATCTATCAATCTACGTATCTTAGGAGGTTGGACTGGATGGCCTTTGGTGCCTCTTCCGACTAGGATTCTTTCACCTCTCCCTCTCTCTATTCTTCTATCTATTGATCTATCTTAGGAGGTTGGACTGGATGACCTTTGGGGCCTCTTCCAACTCTAGGATCTTTTCACCTATCTTTCTCTCCCTGTCTTTCTCTCTCTCCCCTCTTTCTATTCATATCTATCTATTCTTCCATCTATCGATCTACGTATCTTAGGTGGTTGGATTGAATGGCCTTTGGGGCATCTTCCAACTCTAGGACCCTTTCACCTATCTCTTTCTCTCCCTCCCATTCTTTGTATTCATATCTATCTATCGACTGATCGATCTATTCTTCTATCTATCAATCTACCTTAAGAGGTTGGACTGGATGGTCTTTTGGAGCTTCTTCCAACTCTAGGATGCTTTCACCTCTCTCTTTTTCTCTCCCTCCCTCTCTATTCAGCTCTATCTATCTATCCATTGATCTATCGATCGATCTATCTTAGGAGTTGGACTGGATGATCTTTGGGGCCTCTTCCAACTCTAGGATGCTTTTACCTATCTTTGTATTCATATCTTCTAACTATCTATCTATCCTTCTATCCATCCATCCATCTATCTTAGGAGGTTGGACTGGTTGGCCTTTGGGGCCTCTTCCAACTCTAGGATCCTTTAATCTCTCTCTCACTTTCTCTTTCTCTTTCCTTGTCTGTATCTATCTATCTATCCATCCATCCATCCATCCATCATTCTATCTATTGATCTATCCATCTTAGACTGGATGGCCTTTAGAGTCTTAGGGGTCTCTTCCAACTTGTAGCTTCTTTTCCCATGGAAGACAAATCTCTGAATTCCCAACTGACATTGGATGGTGTTAAGTAGAGTTTTGCTAGAAGGAAATCCACACGAAGGAAGAAAAAACAACAACAACAACATTTGGACTTTTTAATCTTTTGGACTTTTTAATCGAGCGAAAAGGCCCTGAGCAAAGTCACTTGTGTATTAAAAGGGGTGGAGAAAAAAATAACAAGACTGGTGCTTCTGAAAAAAATGGAAGGGAGGGAATGAAGGAGAGGAGGCTTCCATACCTCTGGAAAAGGGGGATCGTTTTCAGCTGGTGGGGGGCGGTGGAGGGATGCTCCCAGGCCCCTCGGTGGGGAGAGGGGGCCTCAGCATGGGGGGCATTGGGGCTGGAGGAGGGACCCCCGGGGCCGGGGGCAGCTGTGGGGGTCCGGGAGGCAAGGGGACAGGCCCGGTGGGGGGTGGCATGGGGGGCAGCGCCAGGCCGGCAGGAGGAGGGGGCGGTGGGGGTGGAGGGAGAGATTCCGGGAGTGGCGGACGAGGGGGCAGGCCATTCATGAGTGGCGGGGGTGGTGGGCGCTTCACGGTGGCTGGTCCAGTCGGGAGGCTTTGGGGTGCGGGGGGCTTCTCCATCTTGAAATGGAACTGGAGGAAGAACTGGATGCGGAGGAGAAAGACAGAAAGAAAGACACAACATGCTGGGTTACTTTGAATGGCAAGGGTGGTGGAGGCGTTTACGAGAAATGGAGGTCCGGACTGTCAAAGAGGACGAGAGCAGAAACGTTTCCACAAAACGGCTTGGCTCTTGTGGGTTCATTTAACAATAATAATAAGAATACTTTATTTGTATTCTGTCCTGTCTCCCTGAGGGGACTCAGAAGTTGCAACTGGCCACCTTGATTAGCATTGGCCTTGCAGAATCTAGGAACCCCACCTCCTCCAAGGTAAACTGAACCCCCTAAACTGGGCTCTATAGGCCAATGGAGACTCTACCACAGACATCAGAAGAGCTGCAAGACCAAGAACAAACCACGAGAGGAAAGACAAAGATCCACCCAGAGGAAAAGGGTTCTTACTATACAGCAAGGGAACCACTGACTGCATAGGGAAGCTGATGAAGAAACACAACCTGCAAACTATCTACAGGCCCATTAAGAAAATCCAACAAATGCTATGTTCAGCAAAGGACAAGAGGGATCCTCTCAGCTCTACAGGAGTCTCCTGTATATCATGCAGCTATGGACAAGTCTACAGAGGGACACCCAAACGCAGCACCATTGCCCAAACATGAATCAAGGAACATGAAAGGAACTGCAGACTAACTCAACCAGAGAAGTCAGCCGTAGCAGAGCACTTGAACCAACCTGGACACAGCATATGATTGGAGAACACAGAAATGCTGGACCACTCTAACAATCACCATGTCAGACGACACAGAGAAGCCACTGAAATCCACAAGCATGTGGACAATTTCAACAGAAAGGAGGAAACCATGAAAATGAACACAATCTGGCGACCAGTTTAAAAAAAAACTCTAAAATCAGGACAGTAAACAAAGAGCAACACTAAAAAACAATAACAAAAAACAAACAGGAATTCCAGTCAGGAAACAATCAGGGCCAGCTAACACCTCTAAACAAGGGATTCCCCCAGGCAGGAAATGGCCAGGCTTTGAAGCTGCAAAGCCATTCAGTGCTACTCAAGGTGGCTAACTACAACATGCACACTTGACTCCAACAGACAAGAGTTCTTTCTCCCACCCTGGACATCATTCCACGGATATATAAACCCCACTTCAAACCTCACAACCTCTGAGGATGCCTGCCATAGACATGGGTGAAACATCAGGAGAGAAAGCTTCTGGAACATGGCCAGACAGCCTGGAAAACTCACAGCAACCCAATAGATTAATTTATTGTTGATTTTAAACCGTTTAGTTCCAATCACATGTCGATCTTGTTTAACTTCAAAAGCTACCTTGACAGTCCCATACTTTGGTGGGGGGAAAGCTGCGATAATAAATCCTCCCTTCCTAATTTCAAATACAAGTTGCCTTATTATTATGACTTTAATTCACACGGTAAGTGTGAAGAATGACTTCTTAGGAAATGACGCTTACCTGTTTGGTTTCTCGGTTCCAGTGGGTCCAGAACTTCCCCTCGGCCTTGTCGATCTCCCGGCTGGGCACCTGAGTGAGAAGAGAGAGCCATCGTTCAATGGGAAACCCACACGCAACTTCGTTTAACTTCCCAAAGTACTCCATTACTGACTTCAATGGTGAATTATTTTCTCATGTAACCGCATATGCAACAGCCAAGAAAGTTAAGGAATCAGTTACAAATGTGGCTATCCTTTGCTTCTAGAACTGGTGAAGGAAGACAATGAACAAAACAGAAAACACTGGTTTTGTAAACTGATTTAAAATTCAGATTTTTTTTGAGGGCGGGGGGGATTTGGCAACTCTATCATTGTTTTCAGGGAACCATATGAGAGAATTGCCTGGGCAGGCCTACCCAGTCTATTTGAAATATGACTATTAAGTCATATTTTATGTTGATTATGTTTGAACTTTTATTCTCATGTATTTCAATATGTGTTTGTCTTAAATATATGCTTTTATGGTCGATTTTTTTTTTAATATGTGAGGCTATAGATGTATTAAACTATGTTGTGCGGGTAGTAAATAATAATAATAATAACAACAACAATAATTATTATCTTCAAGCATGTTGTTTTTGTTTTTATTAAGATTTTCTTCTTCAGAGAAGCATATTTATAATTATGGCTAGCTTGGGAACCTGGCGTTGCCCAGGTTATTTGATTTTTTTTAATTGTTTGGGTTCACAGTGCTCTCTGGATGTAGGTGAACTACAACTCCCACAAAGACCTCCAGTATTTTTTGCTGGTTATGGGGGCTCTGTGTGCCAAGTTTGGATCAATTCCATCTTTGGTAGAGTTCAGAGTGCTCATTGATTGCAGGTGAACTATACATCCCAGTACCTACAGTTCCAAAATGTCCAGGGCAATTCTCCTCAAAGCCCACCAGTATTCAAATTTGTGCATATTGGTTATGCATGCCAAATGTGTCCAGATCCATCATAGTTTCGTTCATAGTGTGCTCTGGATGTAGGTGAACTACAATTTCTATAAATCCCTCCAGAGACCTCCAGTATATTTTGTTGGTCATGGGGGTTCTGTGTGCCAAGTTAGTTCCAGGTCCATTGTTCGTGGAGTTCAGAGTGCTCTTAGATTACAGGTGAACTATACATCCCAGTCCCTACAACTCCTATAAATCATGGTGAATTCTCCCCAAACCTCTCTAGTATGTTCAGTTGCTGATCAATTCCCCTCCTTAGGGGTTAAGGGAGAGGCAGTGGTCATGCAAATTCCACACCAATGTCCCTATGGTGAGAAAGGTGGGGGTATAAAGATAACAACAACAACAACCACCATTGAATATAGCTTTTCTGTGGTTACGGGTACATGAATGGATACCTCTCCAGGTTTTTGTCAGCCAAATCCCTCTTCCCTCTGAATTTGAAATCAGTTTACAAAATATTCTGTTGCATTGATTTTCAAACAAATTTGTTATTATTATTATTATTATTATTATTATTATTATTATTATTATTACATTTATTTATACCCCACTTTATCTCTCCCTAAGGAAACTAGCTCTTCCCTCGCCAGTTCTAGAACCGAAGACACTCTCCTGGGATATCCAAATGTTTAATGAGATATGAAACTGGTTTAAAAATTGATCCCAAAAGCAAAATGAGAAATTCACCTTAAAAGCGATGGTCTCATAGGGCTCGGCAGCCATCAGCAGGTACTGCCAACGCCGGTCGGGCGGCTCAATGCGCTGCTCGTAGGCCGACATGAACCGGTGCCTCGGCATAATGCTCTCAGCGATTTCCGGGTAATCAATCTGAAAAGAAGGGCAGAAATCGTGAAACGGAGTGGGAAAAGACTAGCGGGTGTTTGGGAGCTAAGGGAAGGATTCACAGTTTCTATTATATCACTCTCACATTCACATCCAGTGTGCTGAGTATGATCTTGGAAA